CAGTGCCGTTCCTGGCGGGTATGCAGCGAATGCCCCGCACGCAGGCGCCCAATTTAAGGGGCGCCAAATTCAACTATTCGAAGTATAAGCATAGTATATAGGGGCGTACAAAATTATTCTTGCACGCAGGCGCTCGCCACCCCAGGAACGGCACTGCCAATACCGCACACCCTCGGTCCCTACGCAGACCGATCCAAGTGGTCACCCACCCGCACACTTACCGTAGCCAGTGATGCTTGACTTCGGTGATTTGCTGTGAGCCGTGTCTTAACGATCAGTCCACTGCGGGACGCAAAAACATGGATTTCATCTTCTCCCTTGATGACGTATTCGAGCGTTGCGATCGTATCATATCTGCTATCTATCTAGCCTCAACCAAAGCCTTATCAATAAGCATAGAAAGCTATAAGCTTAAAAAAAGATCTCGTCTCACTATACTACACTGATCAACTAGTCAATCCTGGCCAAAACTCAATCTAAACAATCCAAGCATACATTTGGATGAGTAAGGAAATCCGTTATCCGAATAACGAAAAATGTACTCTAAATTTGTATATCATTTATCGTGTTAAATAGAAATTCTTGCTTTAATGTCTGTGAGATATATTCATTGATTTTAGTTTTTTTGCCCTAAGATGCTTACACAAGTTTTGTGGAAGAGATATTACATTGGCAATGTATGAAGAAAAATAATTCAAAGCATAAAATGGTGAAAAGTGTTTTAAAATAATGTAAAAGCTTAATTTCTATAAACTGTTTGCGTGTTACAGATCTTGTTTATATGCCACAATTATCTTCATTCATTAGGGAATCTTCATTATAAATCTAGACAGACATTATCGTTGCATATGTTATTTGGAATTTCCTTGTACTCATGACTATGCATTTAAAACTTTAGTTTAAAAATTATTTTGGCAGTTTGTGTTGAAGTGTCTTAATTTGCAGCCAGTCTCAGGAAATCTCTTCATAATGTTTGTGTGAAAAGTGTGTTACTCATGAAATATGCTATTTGAGCAATGTTTGTCATAGAAAAATAATGGTTTGACTAAACAATTTCATTTTTAATCAAATGTAAACATTTATTTATTTAGTTAGCCTGCTAAGCAATTAACAATAGTAATAGGTTAAGATAACTAAATTTTTATGAAGCATATTAGATTAATTTTTTGTTTACACTAGTTTAAATTTTCCGTATCTCTGTGTATGTGAAAAAATATTTGATCTAAAGTGAATACTTCAACCTATAATATGTAATTTTATTTTTGTCTTAAGTCTGTATCATTAAATATTCTTTATAATATTAGTTTCTTAAGGTTGGTTTTTGTGTTCATCTTAATCATATGATAGTCGAAACATATAGTTAGAAACTTAAAAATTTGTACTAATATTAATATTAAGACTAATATTTCTAAGTAATAGACAACCCTTCTTGTTGGTGATAACAAGAATACTTCTTCTTGTGTAACATGTAATAAGAGTTTTTCTTAGAAAAGTTTACTAGTTACAACAACTTTATTTAAATGCACACATTTTTACGCAAGGTGTTATGAAATGAACTAAGACTAATATTTCTAAGTATTAGGACTCATTCATGTTGGTGAGAATACTTATTCTTGTGTAATAAGAGTTTTTCTTAGAAAAGTAATACTGGTTATTAACCTGATTCTTGTAATAAGAGTCTTTCACTAAGAAGTAATGTGACGGAATACAGTCATGTCCATACTGGTGTGAAGCCACATTCTTGTAGCATATGCAATAAGAGTTTTTCCCATAAAAGTGACATGACTAAACTCTATCCTGTTCGAATGGGTGAGAAATCCTTTTCCTGTAATGTATGTAATAAGACTTTTTCAAAGAGAAGTAATCTGACTAATCACAGTTATGTTCATACTGGTGAGAAACCTTTTTCTTGTAGTATATGTAATAAGAGTTTTTCTCAAAAAAGTCATCTAACTTCACACAATCTTGTTCACACTGGTGAAAAACCTTTTTCTTGTAGTATATGTAATAAGAGTTTTTCAATAAAAAGTAATCTAACTGAACACAATCGTGTTCACACTGGTGAGAAACCTTATTCTTGTAGTATATGTAATAAGAGTTTTTCTCAAAGAAGTAGTCTGACTGGGCATTTTCGTATTCATACTGGTGTGAAGCCACATTCTTGTAGCATATGCAATAAGACTTTTTCCCATAGAAGTGATATGACTAGACACAGTCGTGTTCACACTGGTGAGAAACCTTATTCCTGCAGTATATGTAATAAGAGTTTTACAAACAGAAGTGAACTGACTAATCACAGTTATGTTCATACTGGTGACGACCCTTTTTCTTGTAGTATATGTAACAAGAGATTTTCACGAATATGTAATCTGACTAAACACAGTCGTGTTCACGCTGGTGAGAAATCTTATTCTTGTAGTGTATGCAATAAGAGTTTTTCGGGAAAAAGTAATATGACTAAACACAGTCGTGAGCACACTTTTGAGAAACCTTATTCTTGTAGTATATGTATTAAGAGTTTTTCACAAAAAAATAAACTGACTAGACACAGTCGTGTTCACACTGGTGAGAAACCTTATTCTTGTAGTGTATGTAATAAAAGTTTTTCACGAAAAAGTTATCTGACTACGCACAGTCGTGTTCACACTGGTTAGAAACATTTTTCCTGCAGTATATGTAATAAGAATTTTCCACATAGAAGTTGTCTGACTGAGCATTTTCATGTTCATACCAGTAAGAAACCTGATTCTTGTTGTTAATTCTTAGAGTTTATCTTCATAAAGGGTTTATATTTTATTTAGAGGGTCTCATTGTTAATTTTTATGTAAATAAATAAAAAATTTAAAGTTTTTCTCTCTGATTTTTTTCTTTTTGATGTGTCTGAACTTCGAACCATTTACATGTTTTTTTCCATTTTAAAACCTTAGTTTTTTTTTTAACCATAACATAATTTTTAAATCATTATTTTCAAAGTGTGTAAGAAAGTTTTTTTCAAAAAATTAGGAATAAAGATCCATTTCTTTAATTTTAATAATTAAATTTATAAACAAATTTAATTATGTGACAAAATACTTAAATTTAATAAAAAATGAAAATTGGATTATGAATTCACATTTAGGTTTAATTATATAAAATACCATTTTAAACATAAAAATTATTTAAAAAATTGGGAGCTATGCTAAAAAAGTTTACTTAAACTTGATAATTTTGTTGCTTTTTCTCTTGTAACTTCAAATTTTTCAATTTAACATAAGAATTGAAATTATTGTGAAGACTTAAATGCAGATAGAAAATGATTTATTTGATAAAATGCAATCAATATGATATTTTACTCATTAATCTAATATTTGATCATTTAGAAGCAGAACATTATCAAAAATAATTCATTTATTTAAACTATGCATTTTATTTTGAAAGAAAAAAACATTACAGAATATACATTCTTTAAAAAAATTTATAAGCATGATTTTGGATGTTTTTCAGAATGTTTTTTAATGCAGTAATCTACTAGGAAAAAAAAAATTTGTTGCAGGTTTTTGAATAAATTTATTTTACTTTTAACTTATTGTGAGTAATATAAGTAGTTTTGCACGTGTACAAAATTCAACTTTGTTGACAAACAAAATTTAATTTTTATTGCTCTAATGTCTCTCTAGTGTTTTTAAATAAGCTTATTTTGCATTGCTATAGTACATAAAGTTATTAACCTATNTTCTCTTGTAACTTCAAATTTTACAATTTAACATAAGAATTGAAATAATTGTGAAAACTTAAGTGCAGATAGAAAATGATTTATTTGATAAAATGCAATCAATATGATATTTTACTCATTAATCTAATATTTGATCATTTAGAAGCGGAACGTTATCAAAAATAATTCATTTATTTAAACTATGCATTTTATTTTGAAAGAAAAAAACATTACAGAATATACATTCTTTAAAAAAATTTATAAACATGATTTTGGATATTTTTCAGAATGTTTTTTAATGTAGTAATCTACTAGTAGAAAAAAAAATTGTTGCAGGTTTTTGAATAAATTTATTTTACTTTTAACTTATTCTGAGTAATCTAAGTAGTTTTTCACGTGTACAAAATTCAACTTTGTTGACAAACAAAATTAAATTTTTATTGCTCTAATGTTTTTAAATAAACTTATTTTACATTGCTATAGTACATAAAGTTTTTAACCTATTGTGAGTAATCTAAGTAATTTTTCACATTATGTACAAAATTCTATTTAATTGACAAACAAAATTTAACTTTTATTGTTCTAAAGTCATGTTTTACATTCAAAAATATTTACGTTTCTATTCTCAGTATATCTGTAATAGTTGTGTGGCTTTGCAATTAATAATTTTTTTTATCAAAAATATTCTGTAAGTCAAATTACTGTGAAACATTTGATTAGCACTAAAAACAGCATGTGAAAGATTTCCGTGGCCTTTTTTTGCCTTATTCTTAATTGAAATAGAATTCTAAATTTCATTCAGAATAAATAAAAAAGGAAAATAATGATTACCATATCTTTGCTAAAAAAATTTTTAGTTGTGATAAATTTATGCTAATTATTTTTTTCATATACTTTACAAAAAAATTAATTGTATTCATTGCCTCACCTATTTGCTAATGTCAGAGTTGGGCGTCGATTACAACTGTAATTGATTACAGATAATTACTGCTATATAATCAATGACTTGTAATCATGAGTGCAGGTATTTGCGATTACAAATAATCATAATTTTTTATTACATCAGAGTAGAGAAAAAATGTAATTGATTACATTTTTCAATTACAATAATTGATTACTTATAATCATGATTACAAATTTCCATTACAACTGAAATCCTGATTACATAACCAATTACTGTAATCAAGTACTTGTAATCATAATTACAAGTAATCAAAAAATATGATTACACATAATTATGATTACATGTAATCTAGATTATAATTACAATTGATCTAAATATATGATTACAAGACTATTATATACTTATAAATGATTATATTTTAAAGTAAATAGTATAATTCTTTGTATTGACATACATATGTATAATTGTACATATTGACATTTCGTGTATGTATGAATGAATGTAACTAAAATGTATATATGTTACCCGCAAAGTATGAAACGCCGGCATTGTATAGAATGACTTGGCATTGTATAGAATGCCTGACATTTTTAGGCAAAGTATGAAGTGTGAAAAGTATTACATACTACTTTGCCTAGGCATTGTGTGGAATGCCTAGGCATTCTATACAATGCTGGATGCTATTTAGGCAAAGTATGAAATAATCGTCCAGATGAGGTTATTATGTAAATGATGTGCATGTTACTGTGAATGAGAGAAATTGGTGGTTGTTGACTTTCACCGGTGAATGTTGACAATCACATAGTCGCTTTGGTGAATGTCCGAAATATTTATTACATCCGATTTGATATTAATTTATTCGTGGATATAATTACATTTATTCGATATTTTAATACTTACTGACGATAGATTAGAAGAAACATCAGTGTTTGGAGTATCGGGCAAATGTATACCGCGCTGTGACCCTTGACCTTGAAAAAACATCAGTGTAGGGTATACCAGGAAATGGCACTTCATCTTAAAAAAGCATCAGTGTAGGGTATACCGGGCAATGGCACTTGACTTTAAAAAAACATCAGTGTAGGATGTACCGGGCAGTTGAACTGAACCATAAAAAACATCAGTGTAGGGTATACCGGGCAATGGCACTTAACTAGACCTAGTATATATTTCGGACATTTACCAAAGGTCCAGTCATACTAGTTCTAGTTAAGTGCCATTGCCCGGTATACCCTACACTGATGTTTTTTAAGGTCAAGTGCCTTTGCCCGGTATACCCTACACTGATGTTTTTTTAAGGTCAAGTGCCACTGCTCGGTATACCCTACACTGATGTTTCTTCTACTCTATCGCCTGTAAGTATTAAAATATTGAATAAATGTAAAACTACCGATTTCGGTCATTCACAGTAAGATGTATTTGTCAAAAATAAAAATGTTATTCTGAAAAAATACTGAGAGTGCCATTGAAAAACATTTATTTAAGTTATGCAAAAGAAAATTTAAGCCTTTCTTATTAAGGAAAATAAAATTTTCATATAAAAATATGAAATTTACCTACTTGTTGCCACATGGCAGGCTTGAATGATATTTTGAATTACATATTATTAAATTTTTCTATCTAAATTTCATTAAATTCCTCCATTTCCCTGTAGCACAGTAAAAAAATAATTTTTGTTATTAGTCAAAAGTCGCATGTTCCATGCATGTATCTACAATATTTTTATATCTTATGCATCATCTGCTATTTATAATGTATGAATATTGTCAAAATATGAATTTGCAGTCAAAGTTAAAATGATATTCCACAATGTTACCATTTTTAACTTACGGGTTTTTGCAAAAACTCTTACTTTCTCTTACATAAGTTTAATATTTTTTCTCTGGTGCCTACGCAATTACTTGAAATTTTATGTACGGAAACTAACGTAAATTTTCAAAATCTTCTTATTGTGTTTCTTAGTTACAATAATGCTTACAGGAATACAACTTTTAAGCCGTAGTTTGCTTTCCTCTGTTCTAACTATTTATTTTGAGGCAGCCCGTATATTGTATATAACTTGTGATAATATCCTCATAATTGTAACTGTAAATGGTCAAGACCAGATTTCGTGTATTTAAATTTATTTAATCTAAAACACTGAATAAAATGAAACATGATTTTAGCAAAACCTAAAATACAAACTGCCCAATAATTTACATCACAACAGTTATTTGAAGAATATAATAATTGAAACAAATATATTCTTAAAAAGCCAGCTGATTTTAGATTGAAAAATATGCTATTTCCAAAAAATATCTTTGAGATAAAATTATATGTGTGTTTACTTTCAGAAGTGCATCCTTTTTTCTATTGTAAATTTTAGTAATTTTATATTTTTATGAGACTACTAAAAAGAAAGTTTTTTTTAGAATAAAATGTATCACCGTAACAGTTTTACAAATATTATTCTTAATTAGCAATGACAGTGAGTTAATTGGTAATGCATATTAATTACATCAAATGGGAATCACAGTTAATAAACAGTCGTAACTGCTTTTTGTTGCTATTAAATAGTCATGCTATTAAATAGCATTCAAAGTAAAATCAAACATATTAATTTTGATTGTGATTTAACTGTATAAGCAAATTAGTTATAATCAATTAAGTAAATGAAGAAAGTAATCAAAGTAAATGAAGAAAAGTATTAGACTGTGCGAGTTATATAATAAATTTGTAATAATCATATAATATATTTGAAATCTCTAAGGTCACAAGAAATATATTTCGCAATTTTTGAAAAATGTCTGAATTCTAACTATATTTCTAGTTTTTATCTCTGAGTATTGTCATTTTTTAAACCACTTATGTTTAAATAATGTAAACATGATAAAAAATTTTTCAATTCTATATAATTTTTTTTAATGGCACCAAAGTTACAATTGTTGAAAAGCATAATTAACGTTTATGTTAAAACTTCTTTTTNGACGTATATTGTATATAACTTGTGATAATATCCTCATAATTGTAACTGTAAACAGTCAAGACCAGATTTCGTGTATTTAAATTTATTTAATCTAAAACACTAAATAAAATGAAACATGATTTTTGCAAAACCTAAAATACAAACTGCCCAATAATTTACATCACAACAGTTATTTGAAGAATATAATAATTGAAACAAATATATTCTTAAAAAGCCAGCTGATTTTAGATAGAAAAATATGCTATTTCCAAAAAATATCTCTGAGATAAAATTATATGTGTGTATACTTTC